ACATCGCGCTAAGCTGTCTGCAGCTCCCAAGACATCTAGCCACAGTTTTCGTGAATACATACGCCACCACGAACGAAATGAAGGTAAAGCAAAAGACAGAGCCAACACGGTTCCGGAAAGCCACCTCCAGAAGTGTGCATAAGCTGGGATATAATATTGCACGAGTCACGGCCCGATTCTGCATCCTGGAGCACTACGGCGCGACAGGCATCGGTTTGCGTGGAAAACTCGCAATTTTCTCCCGATAGCAAACCTAAAGCGATCCCTCGCAAGAATCACCTGCGACCTTGATCGTGAAAGCAAACCTTTGCAACGCAGCGTCACCAGTCACTGACTCCCTCTTTCCCGCTGTTCCCCAATGCAGCTAGCTATCAAGGGAAAAACCTGAATGGGGAGCACGGGCGACGTGACGCTGGGGGAGGACACAGTTGCGTTAAAGAAACGGCGAGGAGCCAGGCTGTGAAGCCTATGTTTCCTGTAGCACAGCGTGCAAGACGCGCACGCGCTAGCAGGGATCGCACTCGCGCACGACACTTGCAGCAGCTCGAGGAGCACGGAACACACGGCGCGCGCTCGCAGGGATTCAGCATGCAGTTGAACGTTACTGGATGCTGCTGGCGTGCACGTACCTTGGGCTTTCGACTCCCCGCACGCGGTCACATCGCTGGCCGAGCAAGGTGCAGCATCCCGTCGGCGACGCCTGTTCATCACCTGTCCAGCATTTTGCGCCGTTTTTTCGGGGCGCTCCTCCGCCACCCCCCCGTTACTCCTCCGCTCGGACGCGCGCCTACCTTGCGTCAAGGTCTCGCCGAGACGCCATCCATAGCGCCCGCGGCGCCCCCGCACCGTGGCGCACCGCAGTGGGCTCCCTCTCTCCCCCGTTTCAGTTATTTCCCTCCCGGCCCCTCTTCCAGCTATCCCCATTCACTCCCTCTCCTTCCTTTTTCGCTCCGTCTTTTCAGGCGAATTGGGGCTGGCTTTGGCGCGAGAGCGAGGTCGGGCTCGCAACCATGCCCGTCGTGCGTCATTTCTTTTCAACGTGATGCGCGTGCGCGCACGTGTACTTTGTCGTCTGCTTGAGCAGCAGCAGTAGACAATAGCAGTTTTCGCTCTTTGTGATGCTTGAAATCATATGAGCACTTCGAAAAGAGAGTAAGCTTTAACGTTAGGTGTTTAGCCGGTTATAAAATGCGCTCCATTACTATTAAACTCCTTCCACCATTCAAATCAGCTTCCACTAACCGACATGAAAGAGCGATTGTACAAAGGAGTAATTGAGTACCGCCTTGTTGCAATGCCTAACAATATTGTACAAGTTAGTTGGTCACGAGAAAAAAATGCTCGTTTTTTATACACATGTTTGGTACGTAGTATATCAACCAAGTCATTATTTGACCCAATTATCATTCGCTTTGAACTTCAAGTCGTATTTGCTGCTCCCTAATTTGAGGTAATTGAACTGAATGCTGTTCACGAGTTTCCCAACCTATAAGCGAGATGCATTTTGATTTAATTACTAGAACCTTCCAGCAATGGCTTTGTGCCAGTAAAGGCAGATGTTTGCACGCCACCGTGCCTGTGTCGCTCCAAAATTTTTGTCACGCACTTTTCTCTACATATGATCAAGATATACAATCGTTCTTTTAGCATACACACTGGACTGTCACCGACTTTTCCTTGCAGGCATTGGCAACCAAGAAAATTTCCTTACCGAAAGAGATCATCGCATGTTACGTTTTCTTGGATGATGTTCTCTTTCCTTTTTCTGTGCATGGCCTTCGAAGAAATGCAACATTTGTATGCGTTCTACTGCGCTATTTAAAAAAAATTAGGGCGCTTTGAAGCTTTGCTAGTGCAACAGCAACACTAAAAAAACTTGAACTGATCATTATTTAGAAATAGCGGGCCTCACTCAACCGGAGGGGATAATGCTCACTAGAGAGTTTCATGCAAATATTTGCAAAATTTTGTCGTGAAGTGAAACAGCTCATTCTTCAAAATTGTATCAGTTAATTTAGTTTAATGACTCTGGTTAGCTTTATTAGGAACAATACAGGCCGGTGCATAAAAATTCCTCAGTTAGATATTACGTGTGTAAGGGTGACAACATGCGTTTGCATGGACGTCAATAGAGGAGAGAAGGTGATGAATATATAAGAAAAATTGGCAGAAAATACTTTTACTAAGACATGCTTACGTTTTATAACGAAAAAATGCCACAAATAAAACTTTTACACGAAGAAAATGTTCATCTGAAGATTCTTAGCTCTATGATGAAAGGTCAACAATGTTTCTCTGTAGTAAACTTTGTGTTACTTTCATCAACCTTCCAGAACTTCTTTGTAGAACACTTTTCGATTTTCGATTACATGTTTTCTTTTGTATGTTGATAAAAGAACACCTAACTGCCGATTTTCGCGATCAAAATCATGCAGTAATACATCACACAGTTCCGCTGAGCATTAATACATAGCTTGCATGTGACGTCTTCTCCAGTCTTCCGTCCCCCATTATCGAACACATAAGTCTCAGTTGCAGCGCGTTGTTTACGTTCGTGCGGCAGAGAGTTTCACGTAGTGCATGTGTTTTGATCATTTACCTTGCGCATATGACAAAGAAGAACCTTTAAGAACATTATACAGCAAGCAGGGAACATTGTTGAATGGGGAACTCGGATTCTCCATGTCTGCAGCGTACAAGTCCATGTTGTCACACGTAATAGGTGGAACAATTTTGAAGGAGATTCGGAAACATAACTTGCCTGTTAGTAATTAAGTGTCGCTCACACACATGTGCGTTTTCGTCGGTCTTGAGGTCCTACCTGTTTTACACGCATAAGCCATGCTCTCTGCTTCTCCCACAGTTATTTCGTGCAGTTGCACGGGTTAATATTGTAGCTGTTGGGGTCTAACGTCCCGAAACTACCCTGTGAATATGAGAGACTCCGTGGTGGAAGTCTCCAGAAATTTAGAACACCTGGGTTCCTTCAATGTGAACATAAATCTAGGCACATGGGCATCAAGCCTTTTCACCTGCATCGAAAATGCGGCCGCCGCGGCTGGGATTCAATGCCACCACCTGCGGGTCAGTGGCCGAGTGCCTTAGCCACTATGTATATAGACCACCGTGGCGGGTGGTTGCATGACCTTGCGATCACCTTTGGCAAATAGCACGTCCCCACTTTTGGTCTTTTTTTTTTTTATCTCATTTGCACTCAATTCTTGTGGGGCAGTGAAATATCGCACGAATTTTCATTGTGACCTACGGCGTTGACGGGAAGTGCGATAGCCCGCACAGCTTGACTTGGTGTCATCTGCTGCCATGTGCTGGGTGATGGTGGCACATACGCCAAGATCATATCCCAGAGTTTCATGTTGTGACGTACTTGCAAGTTAGGTATAGAAAACTGTGCATTTTTCTCAAGGAAACTCTGCATTTTATTGCGTTGTTCATCATTTAATCCCCAAACACTATAAAACAGACAACACGGAACTAAACATACGTTTTACATATGAGAAAGTCCTTATTAACAATCAGGGCCCAGTCACAGCATGTATGTGCTAAAAAGCATTCTTACAAAGACATTTTGATGCATTCAATTAACCTACAACGAATAAACCAAGTTTTAAAAAAAAGGCAATAAGATTACATTATGCAGTTTTGTTGCTTCCATAGCCTCTGAACAAGCACATCAGTTAAGGATGGTTATTCATAGCTAACCGATAGTGACAGTGTAAAATGAATAAATTATGAATAATAGTAAAGCCTTTGGCAACTATAATGTTTTATTTGACGAGTAAAAATGAAATCCCACAGATTTTATGCACTCTGTAATACATGCCAATCGGGAATGTGCTATAATGCTCACACCGCACGAAAAATCACTAAATGACGCATAAAAATTACACATTGGGCATTGTACAGCTGTATCCGCCAGTGCGACAATGTACTTGGGGGCCTTCCTTTTAACAGGGCCCTCAAACACTGCTTAAGCATAGTCAGCAAATGCTGCTCATCGGTAGTCGAGGCTCTTGAGAATATGGCGAGCCAAATATATTTTGGCATAGTGCACGGCCTGGAAAATACAACAAATTCTAAAAGTCAGCTAAAATTCCTTTCTCTTCTCTCGACAAATGGCACTACAAACTCAGAATCTCCAACACAGGCCTAGTATGAGCCATTGGCTGATTTGAGCATGGAGGAGTTTTGTCATTACTGTGGCCACCGCAGGTGCCCGCGACTCATCTACCTGTGAGTACGCGATTACACTAAAGGGTCGCGCATTTGAAGAAAAAAAAGAGAGAAAAAGTGTCCAGGGTGATGCGGTGCGTGACGTATTATCTTTCCTTGTGCCTTCTCTTCCTGCCTAGCTTCCAGCGCTTTGGTCGGGACAAGAGAAAAGAGAATGCAATTGCAGCATATGACAAATCTTTGTAACTCCGCTCGTACTGAACGGATTCTGAAAATGTTTGAGGTGATGAGTTCGTGAGAGAATGAGTTACTTTACCGAGTTTATTCCATGACTACTTAGAAAAGTGTTTCAGGGTCACTTTAATTCTTAGTACATGGAGTGCTGAACAAACGACACTGAATATTAATCCTGTAATGCCGACCGTTGTTCTATTTGGTGCATTGAATGTTATACCTCAATAAAGCTACTGTAGGTGTCATGATAAATGGCTATTGAAGATTTGACATGTTATGAAGAAGATACAGTGACTTACATATTATACAATAGATATGACAGTAATTCATTTCAATTATTACTAATTAGCTTATGCCTCAAACCAGTTTCTATATATATTTTTCTTAAAATGAACTGCACACAAAGAGTAAAAACAGTGAGCATTTTCTTGCATTTTTTGTGAAGGCATAACTGTTCGTGCACATTACAGGATTAATTTTCGGTGAACATGCAGAACTCTAAACCCTATAGTTTGGCCCACATAGCCCCAGTGACATTTGAAAATGCAGCACACAGCAACAAAGTGAAAGGAATATTGAATGTACTTGCCATTTATTTCCACATACATACGTTGTGAATTACATTGTTGCATAGCACTTTGATCTAGAGATAAACTACAATGCTTTGCAAGAACGAGCAATAGTATCTTTTGCAGACCTTGCGGCATTGTCTTACACAGCACCAACAGAAAGCCAACCACACAAGTGCTACCAACACCTCAAGTACTTGATGAACACCACAAACAGCAAGAGAAGGGCTCAACGGGTAGTTGACTGAGTAGGACACAACATAAAGAGTGATTTGATTGCGCGGGACTAACCACAATACCCACATACTACATCAATGAGCAATATCGTCTTGATTGAGGGCGTATGATAAGCCACAAGAGATTCTAACACAAAAAAGTGGGACTCAGCTCTTCCACAGCCAGCTATGCAGCATGTTTGGAAAAGAACTGACATTGCATCATATTCAACTGCATTATAACAGAATACTAAGCATGCCTTACACTAAGTGTTCGATTATGTTGGGCTTTATTCTCAGAGACTGTCGTGGTCATCTGAATTCTGGCAGACCCCTAATGTCTACATAGTGCTAATTTAGCACAAAATGACACCACAGGAAAAGAGACAGAACACAGCGCTACAGTCAAATGACCTCAGTTGAGAGCAGCGCTGTGTTGTCTTTTTTCCAATGGTGTTGTTTTGCGCTGCATTAGCACTATAAATTCACACCAACTGCCTGCCAACGCATTCCGTCGAACCCCATGTGTTCATTTCTGCAGAGGCCTAAATGAATCCACTTTTGAATGATTAATGGCATAACGCTAGTTGGAGAACACACTTAAGTTTTGCCTTATTGTTTAGCTGCCTCAGTACGACCGTCAATATATTTCCAACAACAACAAACATTTTCAGTTTTATATGTAAAGCCAATTTCATTTACAGACCTATTGCACACAAGTCAATCTACAGGTTTTAGACAGACGCACCCCTGCTTGATATGCAAGTGCTGCCTATGAGACATCGACAGCATAAGATTCAAAGTAAGACACTAGCTCGCTAAATACATAATACATACAGTGCTTTAGCAATCACAATCCTAAATGAAGCGCGGACTAGCAGCCTTAATAGTATTACAATACTGAACAAACAGAATGCTGTGTATATTAAGCACACAATTGAATTTGCACAGGTTCAATTCACATATAATTAACCATTCTGTTTATTGAGTGGATGTAAAATCCTCTTGAAGATATTTTACAATATATCAAATATCTTACCGAAAGACCTACCTATATTTTTCTGTGATTCCCTTCAGGTTCCATATGTATGGGTTTAACTGCACACAAATGTTTTAAATATACGCACGCTAATGTGCAGATATATCAATTATGCTTTTGTACTGTGAAGAAAGCCTTTGAAGTTAATCTGTGTTCTACTAATTGCAGGGTGGGCTAACACAAAGGCTGGCAGATGGTAGCAGGTAGACAGTGAACTATCTGATGGCTTTAAGTGCAGGGTTACTAATTTCCATGCGAATATTAAAAATTGAAAAGAATTACCTTAAGGAGAAGATGTGCATAGAACATCTTTATTAAAGCTACAAACAACCTCTTCAATGCTTTCACTAATCTCCAACAATAATATATATATAATCCTACTGGATTCATCATGTAGCCAATGACATAAAAGGACCAATATAGTTACTTTATCAGAACTCTGTCATGTAACTACGTGCATGAAGCCAAGAAAAATGCTTTCAGGATTGTGATATCTGAAATAAATTTTCAAGAATCTTACTCCTTATTCAATGCACTAGTCTCTTCATTACATGCATTGTAGAATACCAACAATATACCAAAATGTTTCATAATTCTACAGTAAAGCAAAATGAAAGCTAAAAGACATGGTAAGGCAAACAGATGCAGTAGCATTCACAAAAGTTTTCTCCTAAAATGTGAGCCCCGCAATAAACAGTTAAACCAAGGACAGAATAAAACTGAGGAGTGTGGCTAGTTGGGTTTCGAAGACATAACAAAATAGATTGAAATAATGCTGGCTAATAAGAATATTGTGGCTACCTTACTGTAGAATGAAAAGCTACAAGAAAGCATAACAGCATAGCATACAATGGCCCTATCTGTAATGTAAATCTATAAAGCGAGAATCTCGTAACGAAGGTTTCAGAGTAAATATCAGCACCTCAAACTGGCGTGTACTACTCTGACCAGGTCTTCAATGCGTACTGTTAACAAGGTAGTACATATACATATATATTGCTCACATAACCAAACTAGAATACGAATGTAGTCATTTCGGTGTGGCACAGATGGTCATATCAGACACGCACAGTAGAACTCACAAAATGTATTTTGGCTATGAAATATCTTACAGCAAGGACATAATGCACAAAGCAAATACAAAGTTCCGCTTCACTGATACAAAAAGTGTAAAGCTAAACAACACTACAAAAGATACAGGAATACAATACAAAATAGCAAGAGCTGCTGTTTGCTTGTACATTCATGAATAATATGATAGAAATCGCCAAGTGTGCAATCAAGCAACCTTAACTTGTGATGTGTGAATAAAGATCTAATGCACTGATTACCAAGTGGCACCCTTCTGCTTAATAATTTAGAGTTGCGAACGCAGTTGAAACTGTCAACTGCGGGTTTATTCACTCTGGTATCTCAAAGAAAATTATGGCGTTCGATTTTCGAATTGCTCATGGCTATACATATATATATATAAAATATGTAATGTATTGGTCAGAAAAAAATGCTGGTAACATGCTATTAAACACACACACACGATACTGTACACTCCAGTATTCTACACACCACTGTGTAATAAAAAGTGCAGCTGAACAGATCGCCTGCAGAAAGCGGAATCTCGTGAACTGACGCTGAAGCTGCTGAACCTGAAAATGTGAAGCTTTATCTGCATAAATAATTGCTGACGCACCAGCAGATTTAGCACATCAACAACAAATATCGAGAGAAAACTTATAGAAAAGAATCAGTCTAGATAAAGTCACAAATGAACAGCTTAAGCAAAAACTGAATGTCTATTACAAAATAATACACATTAGCAAATATTCTTGTTCAATAGACAAAGTGGAAGTTCGTATTCTCATTTGCAGAAAGCAGAACAAACAGCTTTTCTCTCTTCTCATAAATGTGTCAAAACATTTTAAATTCAAACGTTCTTAGCGATTCACTAAATTATCCGTAACTTAACATGCAAGCGTAATCGCAGAAATAGTTTGGCGCAAACAAAAGGGAATATTGTTAGCTGAGGCCTCAGGACAAAGTACTCATCAGAGAAGTCAAACAGTATTCGCAGAACTCGCAGTACTCATTCTCGACCAGAATCGAACATCCTTGAAGGGCATTATCACAACAATCTATTTCCGAAAGCTGAAAACTCCACATTCTGTACAAAAATACAAGTATGTCACCGTCACACAGTAGGCTGCACTCCAGGCTATTTGGGTATCCTTGAAGCAAGCTGTTGGCTAAGAGCTGAAAGAGAAACACATCATTAAAGACAACAATCTTAAATTACCTGAGCACTTTAAAGAAAAAGCTTCCCCTTTAAGGAAAGTGCAAAAATTACGGTTTCACATCAAATCGCACCTTAATGTGTCATGCAGAAGTCATCATATGTGTCAGTGTATGAGATCTTGTGTGTTGTGGTTCACATTATGGAACACTGACTATTATGATTGAAACTGCTTCAATATAACTTGTGTAAACACCATGACGTAAAGCGGTACTATCAAACTTATTGTACAGTTGTCTATCGAGAACAGTTGCAATATTGCTTTGCAAACACCTTGCATTAAAACTGTGTATATTGAACCAACCCACAATGAAGTCACATATAAGAAAGCATTTTGTACACTCGATAGTTGGAAAATGCCCTTGAATATTTTTGGTATATAAAATATCTCATCTATCTAATGACCTATGTGTAGAACTCTATTGTGTTCCCTTCGAATTCAATATGTATATCCGGGGTCTATGGTATACGAATGCATAAGCCGAAGTTTTTTGCCATTACTTTTGACATACTGAGCGCTGCACTACACCGCACTTTTCCTAATTTACCACTGTCATCTTTCATGTCACTGGAAACCATGTCGCAGATAAAAAGAGCAATGCTTTTGAAGTTACAGTGAAAGCTCATTGATTTGAATTTCATGGGACCAGAAAAAAAGTGTGTGCTAACCAAAATCCAAAAGTATCACCAGAACAATACACACGTGTGTTACATCAACACAGCTTCATTTTCTTGATGAATTGGTGAATGCTGTGCTTATTTTACATGTGAACAGAGTAAACACTGCAATTAACGTCGTCCTGTGACCTTTTTCACGGTGCTAGTATGGCACAAACCCCCGTAATTAGTCAAAATTAGTGAAATTATTCTTAATCAGTCAAATGAGTATGTCTTAATTAGTCAAAAACATGCACTGCATTCCTACCTTATTACATATAGCCATGACTACCGCCACCGTGAGCATATGACGACATGCTTTTTCTTGCCGCTGAAACCTTGGCACAATAGGCAAGAAGCGTTCTGGCGTTTCTGTCGTTACCTAATGATTCGCACTGATGCATTCGCAATGTGGAGTGTGCCATCTCATTTCAGTTGGCTGCTAACGCCATTTTCGCTCTAGTGCATCGCATGTTTGCTGCGCTTCCTGGTCGGTATGCAAGCAGGATTCTCCAAATCAAATTTAACTGAACTAACAAGAGTTTGACATCATAAAACAAAGTATGTGTTAGCCACGACCAAAGAACCGTCTGCAATATCCAATCTTGTGAATTAACAAGACTAGAATTTACTTATGAGCTTTTAATGTGAAACAAAAACAACATGAACATTATAAGAAACTGACAAGCAATGGAGAATGCTTTAAAAGAGACGCTTCATAACTGACAAGCTAATGGTCTAAACATAAAAAAAGAGGACTAATGAGCACTTAGTATGCTATCACATCGATATAACCAACACAGATATAATAAAATATCGGTTACAATGAAGCAAACAAAGAATAGTCTTGCAATAGCTGTAGTGTTAGGAATGTACCTTTATAAAAAATTTTGGATAGTTATTTTCATGTAAGATGCAACTTTGTTAGATGCTTGAGTGTAATGTGTAAAAATTTATTACGAAAGTGCTACCTCGCTACAACAAAGCAACATGTGCGCTGAAAAACCTGTCCAGGTGAGAAACTAGACAATACGTATTTCTCATTGCTCATGTCAACCTCATTCTTCCTCTGTCCTCATCTAGCTAGTGCTGTAACCTGCCAATTATGCCTTGAAAAAAACAATTAATGAAATGCATGTCTGTGATAGCATTACATAAGAAACATTTCCTTTAGATATGAAAGTGACAGTAACTTGGATGGCTGGCATATACCGTTGATGCAAGCACGATGGTGTTCTCCTTTCCTACTTATCTACTTCTCATATCACCAGCCATCTATGCTCTAAATCTGCAATCACTTCTAACGAACAAAGAATAGTTCTGGAATAAAAAAAAAAACTACTATATACTCTTACGTGGGCAACCTCTCTACCGTCTACAAGACACTGCCAGTTACTTTGGCTGTGTTCCAGTCCAGAACTTGCCACACAAACCAAACTAGGCTGCAGACACATTAACAATAGTTCGAATTGTAACAAAGCTTGCAAGAAAAAAAAAACTTGATAAAGACAGCCGAGCAGGATGCTGCAAAACTAGATGTGCATAAGAAAACAGTCACGCTTCCTGATATGCTCGAGTGGTGTTATTCCTGTGTTTACACACCTGAAATTCACTTTTCTCAGATTTTTCTTCTCTTCAGTTTGAAGGTATAGCAGTCAGCATCACAAGGGTTGTAAAACAAGAGTGACGTACCTCAGTAAGAATACTGTTATAGCGCAAGCTCAGAACGACAACAAAGGGACAAGAATACGAGCGCTCGTCTTCTTGTCCCTTTGTTGTTGCTCTGTGTTCACGTTATAGCAATCACCACATCCTACCAACTATCCCAAACTGCAACGCTCCTTGGAAAGGCTCGTCAATGTTTCAAGTAAGTGGACCCATCTTTGTCGAAGGCTGCCTCGACATCTTCGGCTTGTTATGCTTAATTAAAGAGTTAGTAAGTCAAAGTAGAGCATTTCCAATTCTGGCTTCAACTAGATTGTCGCTCGTTCCCAATGGAGCCACAGTGTTTAGCACACTTACATTCAAATGCCTTCACCCCAGCCCAGCTGATGTGTTCTGTTAGGCCCTCCGAAAGGAGCACTTCAAATGGAGAACTGGAGGTGGCGCTCGTACCTCGCCTCCACGTCGCCATCCGAAAGCACTTCCACGGAACTGGTACTGCACGTCCGCTGCCCATCGCGAAGGCTCTCCGGAGACGCGGGTGCATTGATGCCGGCGTTGCCAACAACAAGAGCATCACTAGCATCGACTGGCACAGCTTCATTGGCAATGCATATGCCCAGCGCTTCTTGAACCGACTCGGGAAGCTTCGTGGAACCCTTGAGCTGTTCTACGATTGCTTCAGCTGTTGAAAGGATCAACTCAAGGTCTATGCGGTAGCACATGTCGTTGATGTGCTGAAAGTGAAAAAGCAGTAAACGGGTTAACAGAGGTCAACTTTCCTAAGCAAGAGGTGAGCTGGAAGGGTGACCGGGCCGTATTAGGAGTACTGCAGGTTGATTTCAAACACAGGGTGTTCGATACTGAGCAACCTGACTCACAGTACACGAATATTTTCCTATTCCATGCACCTTGAAATGTGCTGTTCGTGGCTTCAAATTTAACCCTTGACCTTGTGTGCAGGCGCTAAAACAATCACAATCACTGAAACACAATGCCGGGCAGATGAGGCAGTTCTCAAAGCAAGTCATTTTAGTGCTACCAGGTACAGTCAATACGCAAGGTTATGGAATCTCCAAGGAACACACAATTATTAAAAGAATCGCGTAGTCCAAATAAACGAATGCATGCCTCATTTAACTGTCCCACACAACCCAAATCTACAGAATCACGAAAGTAGCTATCAAGGCCTGCCAGCACGCACGTTCTCAGTGGTCATGTGTCAACTGTACCGAACCACCATACATTGCGCAGAAAAGTACTGGCGAAGAAAAAGAACATTTTCCGAAATCGAATCAACAGGAAACTGAAACATACTTTCACAGAAGCAGTCGGTTGTTTATGTTACACTCATCTACGAATGCTTGCACAATCACTACTGGAATTTCGCAGCTCTATCACTGTTTAAGGTGGATGCTCCGACATTGACACATAGTGGCTGATTTGCATAGTGTCGAGTAACGTCCACGATCAAGATTTAACCCTTGCGGTAAATTAACATGCACCTGCACACAGCCTACAGTGAATCCCACAGAAAGATGGCATCAACATACACATAATAAATACTAATACTCGATATGCACTTCTTCAAAATGTCATTAGAGGAAAGAAACTCCATGGTCTACAATGGCCAGTAATACGGTAAGCTAAGTTACTCCTCATGCATACACTAACGCACAGTGTTTCAGGAACGTAAATTTGTAGCTTGATTCCCTCTCATGGAGAATGTGTGAAAGCCATAATGTGTCTGTAAAACTCTTGTGCACATGTCTCCGTAGTGCTGTAGGTGGAGCTCCTGGTACCAAAAGGTCATGGGTTCAACCGCCAGGTTGTCTGCCTCAATGAAACTTTTGCTTTTAGTTCTTCTTTTGCCATGTGCTCATGCATCTTTTACAAACATCATTTCTGTGGAACAAACGATCTCAGAAAAGTCTTGATGGACCCCGTATGAATCACTTTTGCTTAAAACAAGGTGCTGATGCCATTTGCAGAGAGTTACAGTCGAGTGCGTGTTGGAACCTGAACTTGGCAACGTTTAACGCTAGAACCTTATTTAGAGAGGCAAGTCTAGCTGCACTATTCCAGGAGCTAGAGGGTGTTATGTGGGATATAATAGGGCTCAGTGAGGTTAAGAGGACCGATTATACGGTGCTACAGAATGGGCACGTCCTTTGCTATCCGAGCATGGCTGACAGAAGAGAACTGGGAGTGGAGTTCCTTATTCACAGAAACATAGCTGGCAACATAGAGGAATACTATAGCATTATTGAAAGGGTGGTAGGTATCATAATTAAACTCCATAGGAGATACAAGATGAAGGTGGTACAGGCTTACATGTCTACATCCAGCCATGATGACGCTTCAGTTGAAAGCTTCTATGAATACGTGGAATCGGCAATGAGTAAGGTAAAAACTCAGTATACTATACTGATTGGAGACTTTAATGCAAAAGTAGGGAAGAAGCAGGCTGGAGACCAGGCAGTGAGAGATCATGGCATCGGTACTAGAAATGCCAGAGGAGAGCTACTAGTAAAATTCACAGAACGCAATAATTTAGGTGTTTTAAATACCTTCTACCGAAAACCGTAAGTGGACATAAAGGAGCTCTAATGGTGAAAATAAGAACGAAATAGACTTTATAATGAGTGCACACCCAGGCATCGTGCAGGATGTGGAAGTGCTTGGCAAGGTACAATGCAGTGACCATAAAATGGTACGGTCTCGAATTCGCCTAGACTTGAAAAAGGAACGACAGAAACTGATACACAAGAAGCCAATCAATGAGCTAGCACTGAGAGGGAAAGTAGAGGAATTCAGAGTCTCACTTCAGAACAGGTACTTGGCTCTTATCAAGGAAACCAGCTTTAGCGTTGACGAATGAATGATAATCTGACGAGTATCATTACGGAGTGTGCAGTGGAAGTTGGAGGTATAGTACTTAGGCAGAACACTGGAAAGCTGTCTAAGGAGATGAAGAACCTCATTAAAAAGCGTAAAAGCATGAAATTTTCTAGTAAAACAAATAAAATAGAACTGTAAAAGCTTTCAAAGTTGATTAATAAGCGTAAGGTTTCCGATGTAAGCACGTATAACATGGAGAGAATTGAACACGGTCTAAAAAATGGAGGAAGCATCATAGCAGTGAAGAGCAAACTTGGAATAAGCAGAAATCGGATGTATGAACTACAGGACAAAGAAGGCAAAATATCTACCAATATGGATAGGATAGTTAAAATAGCGGAGCCGTTTTACAGAGACCTGTACAGTAGCCGGGAAAACCCCGACCTTATTAGTATAGGAACTAGCAGTAACCCAGATGACACCCCACCAGTAATTATAGAAGTCAGAAAAGCCTCGGAGAGCCTGCAAAAGGTAAAGCTGCTGGTGAGGACCATGTAACATCAGAAGATGTAGGACAGATTGTTAGAAAAACTAGCCACCCTGTTTACGAGGTGCCTCCTGACAAGAAGAGTACCGGAGTCTTGGAAGAATGCTAACATCATCTTAATGCATAAGAAAGGAGATGACAAGGACTTGAAGATTTACAGGCCGATCAGCTAGCTCTCAGTAGTATACAAGCTATTCACAAAGGTAATTGCTAACAGAGTTATGAAAACATTAGAACTCAATCAACCAAAGGAACAAGCGGGATTTCGAACAGGCTACTCAACAATCGACCACATTCATACTATCAATCAGGAAATAGAGAAATGCTCAGAATATAGCCAACCACTATATATAGCCTTCATAGATTACGAGAAGGCGTTTGGTTCAGTAGAAATATCAGCAGTCATGCAGACACTGTGGAATCAGGGCGTCAATGAAATATTTATAAACACCCTGGAAAAAATCTACAGGGGATCAACTGCTATTGCTTCATAAAGAAAGCACCAGAATACCAATCAAGAGGAATGTAAAACAGAGGGATACAATATCCCCAGTGCTATTTACCGCGTGCTTACAGGAGGTTTTAGAGGCCTAGAATGGGAACAGCTAGGGATAAGAGTTAATGGAGAGTACCTTACTAACCTGCGCTTCGCCGATGACATTGCATTGCTGAGTAACTCAGGGGACGAATTGCAACTCATGATTACGGAGTTAGACAGAGAGCAGAAAGGTGGGTCTTAAAATGAATCTGCAGAAAACGAAAGTAATATACAACAACCTCGGAAAAGAGCAACGCTTCGAGATATGTAATAGTGCACTTCAAGTTGTAAAAGACTATGTCTACTTAGGGCAGGTAATAACCGCAGAGCCAAACCACGAGATTGAAGTAACTAGATGAATAAGAATGGGGTGGAGCACATTTGGCAAGCACTCTCAAATCATGACAGGTAGATTGCCACTATCCCCCAAGAGGAAGGTATATAACAGCTGTATTTTGCCGGTACTTAGCTACGGAGCAGAAACCTGGAGACATACAAAGAGGATTCAGCTTAAGTTGAGAACGACGCAGCGAGCAATGGAAAGGAAAATGGTAGGTGTAACCTTAAGAGACAAGAAGAGAGCGGAGTGAATTAGCAAACAAACGGGGGTTAAGGATATCATAGTTGAAATCAAGAAGAGGAAATGGACATGGGCCGGGCATGTAGCGCGTAGACAGGATAACCACTGGTCATTAAGGGTAACTAACTGGACCCCAGAGAAGGCAAGAGAGTTAGGGGGAGACAGAAGGTTAGCTGGGCAGATGAGATTAAGAAGTTTGCGGGTACAAATTGGCAGCAGCAAGCACAGGACCGGGTTAACTGGCGGAACATGGGAGAGGCCTTTGTCCTGCAGTGGACGTAGTCAGGCTGATGATGATGATGATGATGACAGTCGAGTGTGCGAAGTGGGGAGCACGTAAATAATAATTATAATAATTTAATAATTCATGCTGGCTTAACGGCCCAAAACCACCATAATTATGAGAGATGCTGTAGTGTAGGGCTCCGGAAATTTCGACCACCTAGGGTTCTTTAAGTTCCATTTAAATCTAAGCACACAGGCCTCAACAATTTATGCTTCTATCAAAAATGCGGCCGCTGCTGGAGCCCATGAATATATCATTTTGCCAGGTGCGGCAAGTGTGGTGCACTGTGATCGGATGCGAAACACACGCTGAGCATGCTGGATAAATGCTTCTCAAAGATATAGGCATGAGCAAAAAGTCAAAAGTGAATTGAGCCCAAAGTACATGCCTTGAGGATCTCGTTGAGCCCATAGTTGTTCTCAATGAGCAACTCCTTCTCGTGGTCCAGGATGGCCACGCAGAGAAGCAGGTGGAAGTTCTTACAGGGCAGATCAGTCCATAGTACCTATACAACAACAAAGAAAGATGTTGAGAGATGTCGATCCAGTCATTAGAATAATTGCTACGCTCCTCACATTGGTCTATGCCTAAGGTAAAAATTATAGCAATGAGCTTTGCTAACGAGATGTTCATACAGTCCATGAAGACAAAAATTTCAGTAGGACACTTTAACTAAGTTCTGCTTCCCCTCAGTGTTTCAATCTTTCATTTCCACACATCCCTCTTGAAACGTTCCACGTGTCTTTCCAGTGAGTACCTATCATTTCCATATAATTTTTATAGAGTACATGCGGATTCGGTGCAAACTGGTTAAGCTTCCATAACAATCTAGTGGACTCATGGAATCATTGGAACGCATACAGAACACATTCCCAAAAATCTAATATTCAGTAGAAATGTACAAATGCGAGATTTTGTACAGGAGAACCGGCCCAAAAATTTATACCGTAGCACAAAGGACGGCTTCTCTACATGACTCGCACTCAGGCCTTTTTTTCTTTGGCGGCATTGTGAAAAGACAAACACGGAAACAAGATTTTTTAGCTATTTTAATATTACAAAATGACCGAATATGTCACTGCAGTCACTGTCACAGCCTGAAACACATATTCTAAATATCTGACCTCAAAGTGGGAATTCAATTAAGAGCATTTACAAAACAGGGCTTTGGCATCTTTATGTCACGATTTTCCTGACTGCAACTCTTGTGTAGGAGTTCTTAATTTATTGTGCATGGCTGTATCAAAGTGCTCCGGAGGCTCTGCAATATTTATGTGATAAAGCAACTAAGCGTTACTACTACAACAATCAGGACAATACACTCAAACCTAACTATAACAATGTTGCATCTTACGCAAAAACAAGTTTGTCACATCCAAAAATTTATTACAAATGTATATTCCTGACATTATGTATACTGCAAGAGTTTTCTTCATTTACTTCATTATAACAATTATTTCATTATATCCAGGTTCGTTATATCGAGTTTTGAGACATGGCAAGGAAAGAGGATGATGGCTAGCATACTTGCCTATTCTCGTTCAAGAGCTGTAAAGCTGTTGAATTCACTACACTCAAACCTTGATATAACCAATGCAGATATGAGAAATATCAGTTATAACTAAGTTAAGAATATTCTTACAATATATAAAGCATCAGAAATACACTTCTACAATAAAATTTCGGCTATAATAAAATTTTCGGTTATAAGGAACTTATTTTTCGTGTAAGATGCAACTTTGTTATAATGAGGTTCAACGTCCAGAGCACTCAAATATGCATTATACTCATACCTCAATATAACGAACCTGGACGTAACGAAGTAAAGGAAGAGCAGTCTTGCGATAGCCGTAGTGTTCGGAATATACCTTTATAACAAACTTTTAATTGTAACGGAGTAATTTTCGTGTGAGATAACAACCATATGATAACAATGATAGCAATGATAACAACCATACACTTGTCCTTGCGTGAAGTGTGAAACCACTCACCTCCCACAACCTCATGATCTCCTCGCACCTGAACTCGCGCTTGAAGAGAACCAGGAGCCAGCGGAAACAGAAGTACAGGTTGCCAGACTCATGCTCCTCTGGAAATGAAATGTGCGAGTTGTTCTCAGGAAAGCACTCAACTTGGCTCAGGTGAGCTCAGTTTTTATTTTGATTTCACACACAAAAACACACACACACACATTGTATATATCTACAGAACTCACCGATTGAGATGTGAAAATTTAGGGTATGTTAATGCACATATGTGTTTGTTTGTAATGTCGAAAGCTCACGTTATATTGGCATAAGTATGATTCAAACAGTGATGATTTGATTGATATGTGGAGTTTAACGTCCCAAGATTGATTCAAACACTCACATCAGAGTCAACATTGCTCTTAGAAGCCAGATTTGCAGTGACTTGATGCTGTTATCACAAGCAATAAGAGGCTCATAGGAGTCATTTACTAATGAAAACGATCATTCGTTTCAACCCGTGAGTACTGAACATGTACATACAAGAACTTTTCAATACTGAAATAAAATCTTAGTGAAATAAAAATTATAAATAAAAAGAACAATTCAAGTTTATCTGGTGGTAACTCAGAGTGAGTGAAAAGCATACAAGTTTGTTTTTTCTTCTTTCTCCGGTGTGACACTTTCGATCCGAGAGCAACAGGTGCTATTGTAAGACAACTTCGATACTCCACCACAAAACCTGCCATGCTGGCATTTCAAAAGAGTGAGAGGAGGTATGATCACCCTGTAAGTGCAACTGGAGTCAAGAAGAAGGGCGCATATGATTATATGGCAAAATTTCAGTGTTCAGAATTTCTTTCTTCAGTCAGTTCGCACTACTTTCACCCAATTGGCAACTGCTGCTGCGCAAGAAGTTTAGTCGATTGTGCAGTGGTGGTGGTAGCGTTAGTAACAACTTTATTAGGAACTCCAGCAAATTTGTGGCCTGGGTGTAAACTGACCCTGAGGAAGGCCGGACACCCCGTCCCCTCCATGCCTCGTTGCCTTGGTGTACGGGCCATAGTAGATCTTGGAGGGGGCTTTCCAAAGTTATTTCCATGACTTGGTTCCCCACTACATATGGCCATCAGACAGTTTACAATTACTTAAATTTTAAAGTTTTAAGCACCACAATTAGGATACAGTTATGAGGCACACCGCAACACAAAACTGTTAATTGACCAGATGACCTTGGGGTCTTTTAATGTACACGTAAATCTAAATGCATGGGTGCTTTTAAATATAACTCAGCGAAGTGTACCTAGCTGTGATGGGGAATTAACCCTACATCTTTGGGCTCAGCAATGCACACAGCTGTAGCTGCAAAGCTGCCACTTCGGGCCATATGAAGGTATAGGTACAACATACTTCATGCAAGTACACTCAATATAATGACCCCGGATATGACAAAATATCTGTTATGATAAAGTAAATAAAAAATACTACTGTACTTCATATTATTATACCTTTATAACAAATTACCGGATATAACGAACTCACTTTCATGTAAGGTGAAACTTCGCTACACTCAAACCTCATTATAACAAAGTTGCGTCTTACACAAGCATAGGTTCATTATATCCTAAAATTTGTTATACACGTATATCCTAACAGTATGTCTATCGCATGACTATTCTTCATTTACTTCATTATATCTGGATTCCTTACATTGAGGTTTGAGTGTAAACGAATAGGTTGATCTGAAAACGTATCAGGCAGTAGGGTGAATCCAATGCCCACTTACCGAGGTAAATGGCCAGCTTGGGAACAGCAACGGCAAGGATGTCAAAGAGCTGGGTCAGCTGCTTCTTCATGCCGCTCTGGTCAATGTCGAAGTTGGACATCTGCGTTCAAAAAGGTACAATATTGCAAAAGCACGCCAGAGCTGATGTGCACACCCAACAGTCCACTTCGAGAAGCCAATGAAGCCCCAAACATGTCGCGTGACACTGATAAAAATGAAAAAGACTGTGAGATATTGCCACAGGATTAGTCCCGTTGCTTGCTATTCAAAGAAGCAATCGTACTGTCAAATTGAAACAGTAAGTGACATTTCTTGTAAGACCCCTAGGCAAAACAACAATGTGGGCAGTAAGAATGCTGTACATGGTCAGCGGTTACTTACTGCCATCTCAATCAGTACATAAAATGGTACTTACAATAGCACTTATACAGATACTTACAGTTAATTCTATACATATTACATGGTTAATGTGTAAACAAAGTTCATGCTAACATGCAGCACTGCCTTCATTGTAGCAGGTAAACTGGCGACCATCAGTGGACCGGTGACCACCCACGACACCTATTACTCAAAGGCAGAGCACTGGAGTGCTTTTATGCACATACGAGTCTGCATGCCAATAGGTGGGATTCGAATGTTTACCTTTGAGGCACGTGCAAAAGTTCATGGCCTAAATATACCATGAAAAATTGCAAACACTATGCGGACAAACTGGTGTACCGCTTCCAACCAACTTCGGCACCCAACTATCATATCCCTCTATCACTGTTTTCACAATGCTCCCACTGTGTAAACTGATCCTCGCATAGATTATGGAAAAAGCAGTAAAAAAAATTTATGGACCATCTGCTCGAAGGGAATCCTGATAGGGTGCGAAGCAGCAGCAGTGAGCACAGCAATGACCCGGTTGAACCAGGCATTGACGCAAGTGCTGGAAGGACGGTCTGAAGCAAAACTCAGGTAGTGTTCACTAGAGTTAACAATTGTTCGAAAAACAAAGACTAGCAAGGTGGTTTGGGTTTTGTGTAAGTTTCACTGCAGATAAAGACAGTTCGCTTGATGTGTGCTCGAACTTTGTGAGCGGTGGAGAGGCTGAAGCAAGAGAAATGACTTGCAGTGACGTCAATGCGTGCACACTGCGAGGAAAGGCATGACCTACTTGGCACCGCCCCAACACCTGCGGCTAGGCTAGCGCGGTGAGGACAGAGGGATGACGTTATACAGGCTAGTCAAAGAGCTGCTTCGCATATAAAAAAGAACAGAGATGTTTCTAGGCATTTCCTATGTTACCAAGTGAAATTATTGAAAACCCTGACATACAATTAGCATTGCACCAAACAAAAAAGTGGCACTGTAATAATAAGTTGTCTAACAGCTACAATCAATAGATTCAGCCATTGGTTATATCGTTTGAACAGAGACTCGACATATGTCGCCTATTGACCAGCAGTGGAATACACAAATAGGTGCATGGGCATAGGTGCATAGGCATAGGTGCATGGGCATAGGTGCATGGGCATAGGTGCATGGGCATAGGTGCATGGGCATAGGTGCATGGGCATAGACGCATGGGCAAGCAGTGGAATGTATGTAAGCACGTGATGAATGCTGAAGAGAGTACATTTTTATCATGCACACGATGTGCCATGTAGTTCATGTCACCATAATCAATGCGAACTCTATGCGGCCACAGTTCCCTAAAGCACTGTAGCGTTGAAGGGTATATTGGGTGGGATGACCAAGATCAGGCCGGTGATGAAAGCAGGACTTCCTTTTAGGAAACTTGAAAAAGTGATTTATTAACATTTAGAGAAAACGTTTACTGGTCCTCGTTGATCCGGCGCCCGCCATATCGGCTTTCTCGGGCCTCTCTCGTCTCTCGTCCCCCTTTGTCCTTTTTACCCCCCCGTCATTCCCACCTTTCTCCCTCTCCCTCAGTACATCGGTCCATTTCACGAAAGGCAGGAGTGGCTCACAGTCAGAGGAGGAATCAAAGGGTGTGAACCATCTACATAGAGCCCGACTCCCCCTCAGCTCAAAGGGCATGATTGCTCAGTTTTGTTACGTTGACCCATCTGCTTCCAGAAACAGCGTCAACTCTTCCGCTTCTTGAAACAACCGCCGCAATCCGCGGGGCTTAGTTGTGGCACCAGTGCGCCTGTTTCGCGACACCATGGTCAGCTTTTAGTAACAGTCGCCACATTCACGGAACCAAGTTCAGCACGCCTGTCTTGAACACGTCACTGGCAGCGAGACGTACCAGCATGCACTCAAAAGTGGGCACAGCTAGTATGGCTAGCAGGTTTGACACGTACACTACTTTTCCACACTCACCACTCGCTTGATATAGCCAACGAAGCACCAGAAGGCGTCCTCCTCATTGTCCATCACCATCAGTATTGGTGACAGCAGATCACTCATGCCCTGGACATATCCTGTGCATTTGAAAACAGCACACAACAAAATATGTGATGATTTATAAATACTATAAAATGAACAGCACGGGCACAATAATAGTAGATCTGAACAATCATTTAACATTAGCATCTTCAAAAACTTTGATGTCGATTTCCTCCCGGTCCTTAAAGTTTATTTGTTACCAAGTTCAAATTAGTCCAAGAGAAGTGTTGAAGTCGAGAATCGGGAAGATGTCGAAACTAGTGAGAAGCTTTGAGAATTTATTATATTGTTAAGGATTGAATCTGTTCTGAGTATTCAGTGAGAAAAATTACACACCTACGGCCTCCTACAGAAAAAAGTGTAGAAATATTTGGAAGGCAACATAATCAAGTCTGAAATGAAATAGAAACAGTGTTTCAGTAATTTTATAATATTGGCTACCATCTCATAAAACTTTTACTAAAAATTCATCTTCTCACAGAATTGGAGTAAGTATACAAACAAATAAAAAAATGTGCAATATACATTCTCATTCATTTGCACAAAATGTGCCTCGTTAGCCATATTTACAAAATGTAATGCCAGTTTTTATTCAAATATTTGCAACCTGAAGTCAACCCTCTTACTACAATCAAATACCTGAATTCAAGTTGTCTAAAAAGTGCAAAAATGTACACAATTGTGTTAATTTTTTTCCTTATCCTAAATGAAACAAAAAGTCGCCCCTCACATTACAGTCCTCGGTTACACAACCGGGCTGTGCGAAGTGCCTAGCTTAGTAAAGGAGACTTGTACTTGAACTACGACAAATTCAGGCAGAACTTCAAGTGCGTGAGAGAGTCACCAAAAAATACCACATTCATAACACATTTCATAGCTACTCTACCACTAGTTTTCTAAAGGCGGCCTCTACTTGAACTAAGATAAATTCGGGCAGGAATTCAAGTGGGTGGAAGAGGCACGAAGAAACGGCACATTCATAACATGTTTCACAGCCACTCACCCACTAGCTTTGTAAAGGCGGACTCTACTTGAACTAAGATAAATTCAGGTAGAAGTTCAAGTGGTTGGGAGAGGCACCAGAAAACACCACATTCACAACACATTTCATAGCTACTTTACCACTAGTTTTCTAAAGGCGGCCTCTACTTTACCACTCTAAAGGCGGCCTCTACTTTACCACTAGTTTTCTAAAGGCGGCCTCTACTGGGCACGGCGAAAACTCGAGAAGCGGACCATTAACCATGCGTCCCGCATTCTTGTTCCAGATGGCTTTGCTGCCAATTGTCGCTGCTTCTTGGACACCGCCGAATCGCACCTGCGCTTCGCATGCTTATGGAACAGGCGACAACTTCACGGAATTTGCCATCAACTGGACCTCGTATCTTGGACAGGATATCGGCAGCGCATGCGTGACATCGGCCAGTTCAACGCATATAAAAGAACAGCTTCAAATCGGATTCTTCAGTGGGCACGGCGAAAACTCGAGAAGCGGACCATTAACCATGCGTCCCGCATTCTTGTTCCAGATGGCTTTGCTGCCAATTGTCGCTGCTTCTTGGACACCGCCGAATCGCACCTGCGCTTCGCATGCTTATGGAACAGGCGACAACTTCACGGAATTTGCCATCAACTGGACCTCGTATCTTGGACAGGATATCGGCAGCGCATGCGTGACATCGGCCAGTTCAACGCATATAAAAGAACAGCTTCAAATCGGATTCTTCAGTGGGCACGGCGAAAACTCGAGAAGCGGACCATTAACCATGCGTCCCGCATTCTTGTTCCAGGTTAGTTGTGTTGGTTCATACTGTAGTGATGAAAGAGGTGTTGTTGTCGTGCCGTGCCCACGGACTTTGATTGCTTTGGCGTACGAGTGCTACCATGTGTGCAAACTGCTACTCTGTGGTGATGTGGAATTGAATCCAGGTCCTACCAATACTGAAATGCTCCAGACACTGATACAGGGCCAGCAGGCTATTAGGGAAGATTTAGCAGAGCTTAAACAGCGGTTGGAAGTTGCCGAGAAAAGTGTTAGCTCTTTCTCGACCCGAATGACCAAATTAGAAGCAAATGTAAGAGAAATAGCCCGGAAAGTGGACAGTTTTGAAACTCTCAACAATTCGGTTGAAAAAATTCAGCAAACACTCATGCTGCAGCAGGAAAAGCTTACAGATCTGGAAGACCGGAGTCGGATGTCGAACCTTGTTGTGTTTGGCATAGAGGAGCGAGCGAATGAAACGGAGGATGTTCTACGGCAGAAAGTAATAAAAGAGGTGTTCGAGGATAGGCTCGGCGTAAAGTGCTTGTCTGTTGCTAGAATACACCGTTTGGGAAAACGTGCTGGAAAGCGACCTGTAATTCTGTTTTTTCAAAATTATACGGAAAAACAGGAAGTGCTGCGGAACTGCAAAAAGCTGAAGGGAACACAAATTTCCGTGCAAAATGACTTTTCTGCTGACACGCTAAGAAAACGAAAACTGCTATGGCAAAGCGCCAAAGTCGAGAAAGAGCAAGGCAAGAGGATTGCGCTGGTAAAGGATAAATTGCGTGTTGATTCACAGTTCTACGCATGGGATGATGTTTCGAACACGCGTGTCATTGCTCGATCTGGCAAAGATCCTACGCAAACAGCGTAGCTTTCACTGTCTGCATTTAAGAACCTTCGTATGCTCTCTTTCAACGCAAGAAGCATTGTGAACAAAGCGGATAAATTAGAACTATTGCTTTTGACGTACGACCCTCATGTGGTTGTTATCACTGAGACTTGGTTGCATGATGGTGTACGAGATGACGAAATTATTCCTCCCGGCTATCAGATACACAGGCGTGATCGAGGCACACGTGGCGGAGGAGTTGCGGTTATTTGTAAACTTGGTATTGATGTATGTTTGATCAATCAGATTGCCGATCACGAAAGCCTGTTCCTCAACGTCACTGTAAATGGTTTAACCTTTATGCTTTGTGTTGTTTATAAAGCCCCGGAAGTCTCAGATTCTTTTCTCGAACAGCTTTACGACCATCTCCTTTTAAACCGTACACGTCACATCATGATTACAGGTGACTTCAACCTTCCAGCTATCAAATGGAAGAACTTAGCTTACGGGCAATATAAATCGAGTGATGTTGTTTTAGACGCAATGTTAGCTCTGAACCTTGACCAAATTGTCTGTGAGCCTACGCGCAACAGTGCTGTCTTGGACTTATTCTTTGTCAGCGATATCTTTTTAAATGGTGTTATCACAGTTGAAAAAGGAGTGTCAGACCACAGTTTGTTGTTTTTCTCTTGGCCTTATCGATGCTCTGTAGTGCGTTCGAGTACAAATTCAGTGGATGTCAAAGATTTTGATCGCGCTGATGATACAGCAATCACAGATTACTTAGACAGTGTACTAAGCTACAGCACGCACGATGATGTCCATGCATTGTGGATGCGATTTAAAAGTGCGGTCTGGTTCTCCATTCAGCAGTTTGTCCCCTTCCGGAAGGTACGCCAGAACCGTAAACATCCATGGATATCTCGGGAGATTATCCACATTAAACGCAGAATCAAGCGACTTAGAAAGCGTAAAAACGTAGCACCCGAAAAATTTGAGGTTTTGAAAAGAAATTTGGCGACCAAAGTAAATGATGCTAGGACACATTACTATCAAGTCACTCTCCCTTCATTCATTAAAGAAGATCCTGCTAAATTCTGGAGATTTCTGGCTCAAACCAATGAAACAGTGAATAGAATTAAACTGGACGGCAAATACGAAACTGACGGCTTCTTAATATCGCAGGCATTCAATGAATATTTTCACAGCGTCTTCACTTTTTCCAATGCTTATGTACCTCTGCCAGCTATTGTTAACGAGGTGAACATTCCCACTGTCACAAGGGAGGGTGTTTTGATTTTACTAAGAAAACTGAGCACCAAAAAAAGTATAGGACCAGACCAAATCCCAAATACATTTTTAAAGCGCTATTCTACACAGATAACTGATTTCTTGACAGAGGTATTTAATAAATCATTGCGTAGTGGTGAAGTTCCGGGTGACTGGAAGATTGCGCGTGTTGTGCCCATCCATAAGAAGGGAGATAAATCAATTGTTTCTAATTACAGACCGGTTTCCTTAACTTCAGTAAGTTGCAAGTTACTAGAACACATAGTGGCTCAAAATATTCAGTGCTTCTTAGCGGATAATAACATCTTGTCCCCTTGCCAACATGGATTTCGGAAGGGATTGTCCACAACAACGCAATTGGTTATAACTATCCATGATTTTATGGCAGTTTTAGATCGATCAGGGCAAACTGATATACTTCTACTCGATTTTTCTAAAGCGTTTGATAAGGTTCCGCATAGTAAATTACTTCTGAAATTACGTAACATAGGATTGCCGCTTTATCTTATTAAGTGGGTTGAATCTTATTTAACTAATAGAAAACAGTTCGTCGAAATTAAATCTAGTGTATCTGGGATGCTCAATGTCACTTCTGGTGTGCCACAGGGAAGTGTGTTGGGGCCACTATTATTCCTTATATATGTAAATGATTTAGTGCAAGCAATCCCTGACACAGTGTCTATTAAGCTTTTCGCGGATGATTGTGTTGTGTTTAAAGAAATAACCTGCTCTGACGACCATAACCTATTACAGCAAGCTCTTCGCAACATTGAATGCTGGTGCGCAGCATGGGACATGGAATTAAACGTTGATAAAACAGTGCTCATAAATATAACGCGAAAAACAAATCCTAGTGTGTTTACCTACAATATTCATGGCTCACCCATTCAATCGGTAACGCAGTATAAGTATTTAGGGATCACTCTTTCAAGTGATATGACGTGGCGAGCACACATTTCGTCAATATGCACTTCAGCTTTTCGGAAGCTGTGCTTTTTGAAAAGGAAGCTTGCAAAGGCAACTGTGAATGTTAAACTTCAAGCGTATAATGCAATTATCAGACCTAAATTGGAGTATGCGTCCGTTGTATGGGATCCGTACACGAAAAAAGACATACAGAGCTTAGAAGCGCTACAAAAGAAAGCCATCAGATTTATATTCAATAAGTACAAAAGACTAGATTCACCAACTCAACTCATGAATGCTAATAACATCCCCACCTTGGCTGTCCGCAGAAAAATCAGTCGACTTAAATTCTTGCGCAATATTTTTAACGGAAAACTTGGTATGTCTGCACCTTCATATTTAAAGACCACTACAGCGAGAACTACGCGCAACGCTCACAAACACACCCTACAACACATTTTTGCCAAAACAGAGGCATTCAAACAGAGTTTTTTCCCCCGCACTGTCTCGGATTGGAACAGTCTACCTAAGTTCGTTTGCGAGGCAGACGATTTTGACGAAGTCCTTGAGCAATATTTGTGTTGTATTGAACATTGAATCATTGTAACTGTTATATTGCTGTTATGCTGCGTTATAAACTTTTATATTGCTGTCATATTACTGTTAAACTGTTATGCTACGAGTGTTGTGATATATTGCTTGCGCTGCCAGTGTTGTTATCACTGATTTCTGTATTCTTTTTTTTCTGTAATTCCACTCCTGCCTGGGCCATGCTGGCCTGCAGTATTGTGAAATAAATAAAAATAAATAAGATAAATTCGGGCAGAAATTCAAGTGGGTGGAAGAGGCACGAAGAAACGGCACATTCATAACATGTTTCATAGCCACTCACCCACTAGCTTTGTAAAGGGGGCCTCTACTTGAACTAAGATACTTGAACTAAAGGGGGCCTCTACTTGAAACTAAGATCGATAAATACGGGCAGAAATTCAAGTGGGCGGGAGAGGTACCAGAAAACACCACATTCACAACACATTTCATAGCCACTCACCCAAATCAAAGTTGTACATGACATAGGTCATGAGGATGTCGTTGAGCATCTCGACCTTGGAATTGTTCTCGCCTTGGTAGAAGACGTGCGTCCGGTCAGTGCGGCTGACGTCCTTCTCTGTGAATCAATAAGCGCAAGGCTGAGTTGCAAGTAGAACGCAACAACAAAGCCCGTTCACAAAAACCCTGTTATAACCGACATGACTGGCACTACCAACAGGGTTTCAAATTCCGTGACTGCCGGGAATTGAAAACCTGACTTCATGCTCAGCTACAGAGGTGCATTAAGCGTGTGTATCGCTACCATACCCCTCTTAGATGAGTCTCAAACACCATATTTTCTCATGTTTAACCAGCCTCTCCATATATTGGGTACCCCCAACTGTGAAATGTGCAAGGTAGCACATCGAAATTTTAATGTAATCAGCAACCTTACTTTAGCTCCTAATTTTATGTGTAGCATTTGGTACAGGCTATACGTGACAAGATGCGACCTAAACAATCTTGCCAATCAGTTTTTTGTCCTGATCCTAGCTTGCAGAACCATACTGCATTGACAAAACAATGCAGAAAAAAACATTTAAAAACAGTACAATCATTATGCAAATCTGTGAACGCACTGTAATGCCTCATGAATAACTCCTGCCTGCCATGCTCAGCTAACCTGTTTGGCCAAGAAGAGCAAGCATTAGCCTCAACAACAGATGCCAAGTTGATTGTATGCTGCTCACAGCAGTGTTACCTAGATGTCTGTGCACTAACTCTGGGGCACTGGCTACAAACGGTTATACTGAGCCCGCCATATAAAATTATGACATATATTTAACAGTTCCAACATTACCTGGAAATCTCAAGCAAAGTCATTGCATTGTATTGTGCATGTATCGGAGATATTCAGTCACTTTTCATACGCTATCTAACATTGCACCATGCTGCGCTTCTCTAAGTATGCTTCTCATCACAATTGAGTATTGATTGGAAATATTCATACTGACAATGGAAAACTGTTTCGGTACGTGAAGTCACAAAACGCACTGAATCTGATGGGAACTGCAGTTCATGGAGAAAAAAATGGGCAACATGTACACTTTGTAATCTATGGGCAGCCTTCTAAAAAAAAAAAAACGAACTTGATTAATAAGCCTTACTAAACCACTGCCAAGTAAAGTGATGAGGCAAACCAATGGCAAAAACTACTGTGAACTAGAGTCTTATATACAGGGCCAAAATATCCTTCATTTTGGATTGCCAATGATTACACCACTAACAAATTGAAATGTGACATTGTATTTTTTTAGTATAGCAACCATGCACAGAATAACTGTTTTGATTTACACTTCTTGAGTGTAACAATAATGCACGATTCCTCACAATAACTGTTTTAACTTGCTGCAGATCTGGCTGTTAAAGTAGTGTTGGCCCTGATAAAGTGCTCAATTTGAACTTATGCCGACAGGACAAAAACTGTAAATTACTACTTGGCCCTAAATATCCGCCTTTCTGTGCGTGAGAACTGCATATCAGCTGTCCCCCTCAGATTTTATGTACCTGGGTTCCCCTGGACTATTATGTCAAATGAAAAGCTCAAGTACATTTTTATTAGATCCACATTCAGATGTTTGTAAGCACGGAAAAAAAAAAGGCTGGACAAGCTTGCAGGTTATGACACACAACCTGAAAGCCAGTTATCAGGCAGTTATCAGAAGTTATCAGAGGCTAACTGCACTGAGCAGAATAAGCGTGCTCACCAACAAGGTTCTTCCTTTCCCTGTAATCAGCGAATCGCGACTCCTGGTCATCACTGATTGACTTCCACTGAAGCTTCATCCGGTAGTAGCAGTCCCTGTGAAGCAGGTTCACAGAAAAAGGAACAGTGTGCAAATTCTACGAACAAGTAGCTTAAAAGACAAAAACCCAGGAATGAACAGGAAAGCCAAACAAGTTTGTTAGTTTTCACATCCATGTTTTTGCACTACTTGTTCGAGTGTGAATTCCCACAAACTAGCCCAAATTTCAGTTCTGGCATACAAACAAACAAGAGGTACAAAGGTGAAATTACTGTGAACAGCTTAGTTCAGTTTGCATTTGTTCACTTAACGCACTCAACTTTCAACAAATGTAGCTGTCGGGCAGACTTTGTGGTGACACACTAGCCAAGTCTTCTGCTTATAGAGCCACCTCTGAACACCTTAGGATACTTCATACAAGTAAATGCCAAGGAGAATGTCAATTTCAACAAGTTTATTAGTCCACCAAATTGACCAAAAATTCACCACCTATATGCTCATTCACATAAATCCTGGACAAATTAGTCCTCAGGAGGAAACGGTACAGTTGACCACTGAATAAAGAAAAGCTACAATAACAAATGACCAGATTTGACACACCAAACAAAAAAGTCACAGCTTCGCTGCAAAGGCAAAGCAATGAACACGATAGCAACAAATCGGAAGGTCACGCGCAGAATGGCAGGCAGATCTAGACGTGACCCGCGTTTTTTACGCACAAATAACACACGAAAAGTACTCACAGGTACAGATGAACACGAATAAGCGTCCCAGTTGTTATTTCACTGTGTTTGAAAAGCACGCTCTTTTCGCAAATGGAGACTGTGCAACAATTGCAGTGAAATTTGTGCACCCGGTAACTACAAAAGAATTGTTACGGTAAAAGCCAAACATAAGCCAAGACGTATGATGCTCTCCACCGCGAGATAAAGCACGTGAGTGAGCGTCTACCTCTCCTCTCCGCGGGGCAAAGTACGCACGGGAGATGAGAGCGCGCGCCACCGAATCGTGATGATGTGGCGACGTGCACTCATTCCGTGATCTTGCTGGTAAAGCCGAGAACACGATAGTTGCCCCCGAGATGCCTGTCACCAGCGGTAAGCGGTACATATAAATAGCTCACCTTTTCAACGTTGAAGGACGTGCTTCTCTGTGGCTTAGTGGTTTGATAGCCTTGCACTCACGTTTTATAGGTTGCACGTTCAATTTCACGCACCAGTGTCTTTTTCTGGGTTTATTCTTTCTTGCGTTTTCATATATATATATAGATACGTATACATATAGGGTGAGTGACGGAGACGTCCACGTCGATGAGGACGTGGACAGCGGTGGAAAAATCCAGCCGAGAGTGTCTATATAATTGCTATCGCAATAAAATCATCATCATCAGCACCAGCCTGACTACGCCCACTGCAGGGCAAAGGCCTCTCCCGTAATCTGTCAATCAACCCGGTCTTGTGCTTTTTGCTGCCCCTTTATACCGGCGAACTTTTTATACTAACCCACCCACCTAACTTTCTGTCTCCCCTTCATTGCATTTGCCTTCTCTGGAAATTCAGTCAGTTAGCCTTAATGACCAGTGGTTATCCTGCCTATGTGGTGCGTGTGCAGCCTATGTCCATTTCTTCTTCTTGATTTCAACTGTGATAGCCTTAACCCCGATTGGTTCCCTGACCCACTTTGCTCTCTTCTTGTCTGCTAAGGTTACACTTATTCTTTTCCATTCTTTTTTATCACTCGCTGCGTCATCCTCAATTTAAGCTGAACCCTCTTTGCGAACCTCCAGGTTTTTGCTCTATAGGTAAGTACCGGAAAGATGCAGTTGTTATATACCTTCCTCTTGAGGAATAGTGGCAATCTACCAGTTGTGATTTGAGAATGTTTGCCGAATGTGCTCTACCTCATCCTTATTCTTTTAGTTATTTCACTCTCATGGTCCGACTACGTCGTTACTACCTCTCCTAAAAGGACATATTTCTTTATAACTTCCAGCGACTCTCCAACTATTGCAAAGCACTGTTTTCTGGTGAGACTTTTGCACATTACTTTAGTTTTATGCATATTATTTTTCAGACCTAATCATCTGCTTTCCATGTCTAGTCCAGTAATCATGAGCTGTAATTCATCCCCTGAGTTAATTATCAAAGCAATGTCATCAGCGAATCGCAGGTTACTACGATTCTCTCCATTAACTTTTATCCCTACTAACTCTTCCTGATCTCGGGTTCTGAAAACCTCCTATTAACACACGAAGAATAAAATTGGAGAGATCGTATCTCCCTGTCTTTCACCCTTCTTTATTAAGATTCTGTCGCTTTCTTTATGGAGAACTCTGATGGCTGTGGATCCGCTGTAGATTTCTTCCCGTATGTTTATGTAGGGTTCATCGATGCCCTGATTCTCCAGTGCCTGCATCGCTACTGATGTCCCGACTGAGTCAAACGCCTCCTCGTAATCTATGAAAGCTATGTATAGGTGTTGGCTGTATTCCGTGCATTTTTCTATCACATGGTTGATAGAATGAATATGGTCTATTGTGGAGTAGCCTGTATGAAAGTCTGCCTGGTGCTTCGGTTGATTGAACTCTTATATCATCTTAATTTTATTAGCTATTATTTTGTAAATAGTTTGTAGAGAATGGATAGTAAGCTGATCAGCCTGTAAATTTTCAAGCTCTTGACACCTCTTTTCTTATGAATTAAGATGATGTTGGCGTTCTTCCAAGATCTTGGTACCCCTTTCGCCAAGAGACGCTTCGTATTCAATAAGTATGGCAAATTTTTAAATGCAGCACATTTCACTTTACTACTATTTAAATCCTGCTAATATTCTAATTCCCTTTGACTTTCCTTCAAACCAAAAAGGCGATATTCATATAAGCCAGCTGGTGATTATTGTCAGTGTCTTATCGAGTGCCAGTTTTGCGATGCCTTACTTGAGCTTCTTCCGGAGTGCCTCACGCTCCTTGTAGGTTGAGTCGAAGGAGTAGTACTCCAGCAAGAACGGCCACACCTCTCTCCTCAGGTCAGCAGCAATGCCCTGTCACACAGTGAAGAACAAGCAAACAACATATTTGGTGGTCCAACAAGTTTTTGAGGCTCAATGACGTGCGAGACCTAAGAGAGTTCTTCACTGATTGGGGCCCTCGAACATTTAAACAGTACACTGACAGAACCTAGCAGGTTTACCTTTTTTACGTTATGTCTGTCCAAGAAGGTTGTTCTGTAAAGACAAGGAGCAGAAAGGGCAGAATAAGAACAGCCAGCCTATTGAACAAGCGTAGTGTCTTGCTTCTCACCACTACAATCGCGAAGTCTACGATGTACGAACCATAATCGCAACTCCATGGGTAATTGCTATTGCAGGCTTTCTTTCTCGTGAACGCCGCTCACGGTACTGCTATCATGGAGCTGACAACCCTCCTACAGCCAGCTATGCCACGGCTCCAGGCCTTCACCATGGCGCAAGGTCAGGCTTGCCCCGCTGCCGTCAAGACAGTGCACAGCCTACCGTTCACCGGGAATGCCGTTCACGCTTCCCACAGCGACAGCACCACACTCAGCATTCCATCGGTGTCTGAGTCGATCAGGGGTACTGTCCAAGCACTCTCGATCAAGAATACCACCGCAGTGAGTAGGCTAATTAAGGACTACTCTTCGGACCACACCACTGGCTTTGCAGGTGGGTTGCTCGAAAGCACCACCGTACTTTTGCGCACCACCGCACAACTCCGCCTTGAGGTCAGCGCCTTACGGCGTCAAGTCTGTGCTCTTCTCTGCGACCTTACCAGGACTGCACGTCATCGATGAGGCGTTGGACACAGAAGACCATGAGCACAGCTCGCCAGAGAGCCATCAGAAAGCTCCAGCGTACTCTAACAGAGCTTTTTCACCAACTCGGTTGGCCTGTGTCGCTATTTTCCAAAGTTTCACAGGCCGTACCACATCGCTGGCTGCCTTCGAACTCCCACACTTTCGCGGCTTCCAGGACAATGCCAACAACTGGGTCGTCACTGTCAACGCTCTCAGAGCTCGCAATTGATTGACTGAAGAGTGGAAGTGGGGCATGGCCATAAATCGCCTCCAGAATGCTAGAAATACATTGAAGAAGAACGGCTATTTGGGCTAGTTGGACAACACAGCGCTCGTGTTGTTGTCTTTGCCGGCCAGCTGTGTGACGGCGTCAGTTTCCTAACAAATTGACAGTAAAAAAACAAGCCCCACTGCAGTTCCCCTCATCATTGCGAAACCGCATCACCGGAAGTCAAGGCAGTAATTGGCTGAGTGTGCAGACGTCTGCCATTCGTTAAGCGTCACTTCATTCAAAGAAGCCGAGGTGCCTGTTAGGTCGCTGTCAGGAAAGAGCTGCCGGTGCGGGTCATACCTCCAGTTATTGACATGGCATCCGACAAAGAAGGCTCAACTGCAAGTGAAGCTATAGGAATCAGTAGCTTGAACATCAGCCCGACAAAGACAGCGATGCAACAGCACGAGTTGCCCCACATGCTCATAAAAACACCCTGATGCCCCTTGACACACTGTAAACAGCACAGACTTCGCCACTCAATGCAGCAGGTGGAGGTGCAGCATGCACTATTTTTATCGCTGTCTACACAGCTGCGACAGCATAACCAAATTGACCAGATGCAACCAATGCGGCCACTTCGCTTTAGCCGGTATCTGCTGCTGGCGCCATCTTATTTAAGTAACCAGCGTCGACCCCAGCGTGGACGAGGCCTGCACCGACCATCCCATCATAGCCAGTGTCGTCTTCCAAAAAGCACCACAGCTAAGGCAGACAAGGCGAGGCTTACTCAACACAAACAGCAGCGGCACAGCTAGGACATCCCAGACCTTAAACAGCTATGACACAGCCAGTGCCGGCCACCTGAAACTTTTTTGGCAAATTTCCAGGCAAAAAACCAGCATGGCCGAGCTCAGCTACTCTGGCATAGCCAATGCCGCCCACCTTGTCCCTTCTGTTTCGTGTAACGCGAGTCTACTGTTGAAGCAGAGGAATACCTCTTAAAACAGTATACTTCCACAAAAAAAAAAAAAAAAAACTGCAGAACCCATCATTACCACTTACCAGTACTGGCACAAGTGAAGAGCATGACCAAGAATTCATGGCTCCTCTGCGTTACGATTGAGACATGGAGACAACACCCGAGCGCCTTGGAGGCGGCATGCCTGGTCCCACATACCAGCCACAACTACCGGCTGTATGTGATTTGAAAGCTGACGTGTGATTTGAAGGCTGCTCACATGAAAACTATAAAAATACAAGTCCTGCCGCTTCGCCAAGATTCCCTATGAAAACATTCCCTCTGCCGCTTGAATAATTTCATTTTCATGCGAAATCATATATTTTCTAAATATTTACTATGTTTTCGCAACCATGTTACAGAAACGTATGAAATTATTCGAACAGCATACAGAAAAGTTGTTTGCCTGGCATGTACCGCTGCTAAAAGAATTTTGCAAAGTAAAGATCTACTGCGGTTAGTCTATTAAAAAAAAAAAAAATAACTAGTGATAGCAATGCTGGCTGGGCAACTCACCCCTCGAAAGATGCGCTCCCTAAGGCTGGCCTCGTTGAGAATGCGCCCCTCCGGATTGTGCGCCATGGCCCACTCCTCATGACAGAGTGGTGCGCCGCGCTTCACTTCGGTCCGCTTGGGCAGGGTCTGTTGACGATCCTCGCAATTAGTGACAAGCGGGGGGAACACGCGTGAAAGAACAAACGACAACACATCACAGGTTCGAAAAGAAAAAAGAAAGAATAAGAGGTCAGGTTGTATGAGAAACAAACTTCAATATTGAGGAAACTTGAGCCTGCTCTAATCTGACAAGTGTGCTGTGTTTGAAATACAGTTGAACCCTTTTATAGAAGACATGTACTTTTATAGAAGACATGAACCCTTTTATAAAGACATTTATAATACGGTTGCAACTCTTTATAGAAGACATGTACTGGGCAGCAATTGTTGTTTTTTATATGAAGTGTTTCTTGTAAGTAGGGTATCACTGATGCATTTTGGTATGAACCGCTCTCAACATCAGCGTACCCATTTGTCTGTCACATGAGTGTCTATCCTAAAGGGGTTTGACTGTATTCCACCTTTTATTACTTAATATATTCCTTTCTTTTTCTTATTTATTTTACAAGGCACTGCTATCACGAATAGACAACTTATGACAACTTATGCCCATTCTTGCTCTTACTGAGGCTTTGAATGCTCGGGCAGTGAAATATCAAAAAGAACACTGTTTACAAATCAAAACTTACCCTGATGACCACCTCGAAGCCGGGCTCCTCGCTGTGGGCACTGATCTCGAGGCCGGTTAGACTGTCGGGTTGCTGTTCCTCGAGGTATCCATAACCGAGCCGGTACTCGTCGCCGGGCAAGCCTGATGCGGCCCCCGTGACATAGTTTGCCACTTTGGCAAAGCCGTCCCAAGTCGCATCCCACGTTGGATTCGTCAGGAACTTCTGATGCAGAGTCACAAGTAGAACGTGTGAAGTCTTCCACAGATTACACAAATCCACAAAGTAGTAAACAAAGGTACAGTAAAGCAAAGTTCTCTAGAAATGCCGTGATGGCGTACAGACTGCGAATCCTGTACAGACTACCTCACGATTGAGTAAAATGGCTATATTAGAGACTAATACTGAATGTTCGTGCCAAGCTAAGGGAACAAGTTACCAGTCAGCCTCTGCACATGTTGCGAGTACTTCCTCACGTGTGCACTTTTTTCGCGTCTTTACTAATCCCAACAAACACGAGCAACTTACCCGAATTACGTCGTACCGTGATGACGACTCGGGATACAGGTTCAACTGGTCAAACGACTTGTGGAGTGCCTCCACTGCTGGCATCTGAACCAGGTAGAGGAGCGGGTCTTTTCGCGACCTGTTTGTGAGCAAAAGTAAACACACGAAGTTTAGTGTTTCATGATAGCTTGTCTAGTCAAAATGATACATCATGCAAGTAGAAAACATGAGGCACTGTGCTGACGAAAGTGAAAATTTTAAATGAGTGCACAAGATGTTTCGACTCCTGCAAGAGGGCATTTCTCACAAGTAAAATGCATTTTACTCTCGAAGAAGGCTCCCACGCGGGAGCCAAAACATGTTCGTGTGTGCGCATTTTAGATTTTCACTTTGGTCGGCCCACTGCCCTGAGTTTTCCACCTAAATCAGATGAATACACAGTTCCACATATACACCAACTTCTCTACCTCGATAACACTAAACCAAGACAGATTCATCGCATCAAAAGTCAGGCATGTCGACATAAAAGCAAGAGAAGAAAAATGAATAAATGTGATGCTGTACCCAAGTCTGTCTCCTTTCTAGATGAACACCTGTTCATGTTTCTCTTGTCAGTTTACCCAGTGTTAGTGTTGGCAAGCCTAACTTTATTCTACGATTCTACGGCATATTAGTTCTCTGGAAGCCTTCAAGGTACAGGAAGAACTATGAAACGAAAAACTGTCATCCATATATTTCTAACCACTAGAGAGAAAATCTGTATAGACTTCTTAGAAAGAAAGCATTTCAGCTGACAAAAAGTTTGTCCTTGTCATACTAAAGTGAAGTTAACAGGGGCAGATTTTTAAGGTACAGTAGATTCAGTAAACGAAACTCTTCTGAATAAAATTGCTGCTTGAATAGAGAAACTGCCTCGAATATTATGGGTTCTGCGTTCTAATTCTTCACCCCCGTTTATTTCTCAATAAATGACACTCCTACTGAACAGAACACACTTTTCAGGTCCCTCCTGGTTTTAACAGAAGTCTACTATACTATCAACCCCTCTATATCATGCAAAACCATGCCTGATTAATGTGATCGGTACGGAACTTCAACTTGGAATGAAGCATCACCACAGCCACTGCTTCAGATTTAAATACAGTGTTAATTACCATAACCTAACCTAACCTCAAACACTACTTCCAAAAACTACTTCTTGTTGAAGAGTTATAAAGAAAATGGTCACAGTTGAAGTAGCGAAGTCATAAAAGGGATAAAAGCCTACATCAAATAAAGGCATGTTTCAGGTTCACATCTGCAAATTCATAAAAAAGAAATAGAACAGTTATCCGACTGAAGGAATCCCTAAGCCATAAAAAAAAACCCATACAAATCTTTCAGAAAGGTTCAGAGTAAGAAAAATTTGTCCCTGTCTGGCACTGCAGTTGCAAATAAAAATTTACCGACAGTTCCTTCAACATCTGAACTAGCGAGATAATACATTGCTCACAATGCAAAGTGGCATGTTAATAATGCATGTACCGTTCATGTGGGAGTACTACTACATAAACAGAAAGCCTGCTGAGAGCCATGTGCGTCAACATACTCGCACGTTTGAAGCGCGTTTTCCCCAAACATAATTCTACACAGGATTTATTACACACTTGCTAACTACACTGGAAACATTGTCACTCGTGGCTAGCAGCCCGAAAAACATAGAAGACGAGAAGTGGACACAGTGCAGAAATAACTTTCGACTGAAATTTTCATTGAAGAAAACCATAACATATAGTGTGTATATATATATATATCTATATATATATATATATATATATATATATATATATATATATATATATATATATATATTTATTTATTCGACGGTCGCAGGTTCGGTTCCTGCTCACGGCAAGTTATATTTTCACCCACTTCTCTTTCTTCACGTATAAACTACAATTCGGTCCAATAACATTCCCTATACTTTCCTTGGCATATGGCTCAGAGGGAATATTGGTCAGAGGCCAACTCCTAATAAGTTCACATGTTACGTGACGTCAAACCCCACTTTCCTTTCTTCACATTTAAATTAAAATTCGGTCCAATAACATTCCCTATACATTCCTTGGCATTATTGTCTGTTAGATCTGAATTACATACATATATATAAATAAATATATATATATATAAAGAAGTATTTCCAAAGGGCAAAACGTACTTGGGAAAAGAAGAGGATCGGCACACGAACGCACGCACGCACGTGCACACACACACACACACACACACACACACACACACATATGGTGGCTCATTCTGTGTCACGTGTGTACCCCGTCAATTTTCAACTAATAGGGCTAAAAAAACGTGCAGGTATATGTGAATGTGAGAAGTTTTTCAGGTGTTATCTTTTGTAAAAAAAAATTTGTGTTGCCTAAAAAGCGCTTCAAACTTAGGGCACCCAATTGAAACTGTGTCGCGCTAAATTATTTATATAATATTACTGGTTTCAGTAATTACTAAAAAACAACTAAAATACATACTACAACAACTACAAATTATAATACTACAAACAACTACAAATCTCAAGGCACTGCTTTCATGAATAAGATAGTTTATTCATTTTTGTACAACTTTTCTTTATTTTTCGTTTTGGCAAAAAATTACAATATGCTGCATGTTCGGTATGTTTTATAAAAAGCACAATTTTTCCTGCCAGTGTTATAATTACATTTTCTATTCTATATGTCCCTATATTAATTTGTAAAATGCTTTGGGAAGAAATGAGCCAATAATGTTGCCAGAATAATGTGATAAAGTTGGCTAAAATCAAATTTTTACTCAATTCACAGCTTCATTTTGGCAATGTAACAGTTCAAGCAAAAATATGGCTAATATATTGTTGAAAAGTATGGTTTGTTAGTAAGAGTTGTAGAAAGTTTCGGTTGTAGAAAGAGTAGTTTTTGTTTTAAGGGAGAAAAAATTTTTCATCTGAACAACCACAAGGTAGTAGAAAGCCTACCTTTGCATTGCCTTCACTGCATAGTACATCAATGCAAGGTGCCAGTTGCCAAGGTGCTTTTCGGCAACATATAATGCATGTCACATGATTGCTTGTTACTTGTTTTCATAATAATGCTCTACAGAATGTCTAAAACAGAAATGGTGCCAAGTTTGAGGAACGGTATTTTTCCCCTTGAATCATTATAGGGCAAGTTATATTTCTCAAGGGGTAGAATTATAATGCAGTCGATGGTCTGTAATAGAGTATTACAGCATTGAGTATGGCTTCTGATAATTAATACACATGCTTTGATAGTAATTAACAACATAACTAAAGTTTAGTTTAAGGTGTTTTAATGATATTTGAGGTAGAGGCCAATGTGTGATCATTGTGTGAAGCTTCACCGCTCACCTTCAGTGGTGTGGATGTAGTAGTGCAGTTTAGCCTTTCGCGTCCTCAGACACTGCTTGACAAGCCCTTGCGTGGTTGAGTCATGTATAAATATTTTGAATGCATTATATTGCATTTCTTAATAAGTAAACATACTTCTTTTACTTGAGCTTTACTTTCGTTTAAATTTCAAGCCGACAAAAAGCGGGCAAAGGTGTCAAGATGCAAAACGTCAAGAGAATTTCAATGTGAGCTCTTTAGTGCGATTTCGCTGAGAAAAAAATTGCTAAAGCCATGAATAGGTAACCAGAGAAAACAAGTGCAGTACAGGCACGTGCGATTTCACAGCATTGCCGATAACTGTTACACAATGGATAGAAAGAAACACGGCACATTCACGAAGTGAATGATGATTGGGCAAAGCAGTGAAATCCTTCAATTTTATCATAAATCCCCGTGACATTGACCCCCTAAGCATGTAAATGAGTGAGAAAGTGATGGACAGTTATATACTAGGCTTATTGATCATAAATGGTATGTTTATCATTACTGCTTTATGGCACATTCATTCATTAATAATTATGACTATTCATTATTATTCATTAACATTCATTATTACTGCTTTGTGGCACTGAATCTTGCCTAAAATCGGCAAAAACGAGGTCTATGCCCATTTCCCTGGCGGTTCTTGGTGGTTTCCAGTCGCACGAAATGCATCATAGAGCATATAGAGACGTCATACACTGCACAAGACAGTCACTGTTCGCGATAATCATCATCGTCATCACCACGGCTACGGCACACACCAACGCTGCCAACGGACATGTCTTGACCTTAAGGAGCTTTGTCCTTAAGACAGAGGGATGAGCTAGTTTGCGAAACATCCTTAAAAGAATTGAACATGCAAACACAAACACAAGAAGTCACAACATGCTGGTGCTTGTGGCGTCCCAGCTTGTTTCCTGTCTGTGTTGGCACACTCAGTCTTTTCAAAATCATAATGCAGTTCACTTCACTGCACGGCTTCAAGACGGTGGCGCTGTGCTTTTCTGCACACTAAAAAAGCAGAGTAGAAGAACTTTCTATAGTAGTCACGTGCTGCAGAATCATGCAACTAATCGGAACTGTCACACGCGTAATGTCACACAGCCCAAATTTGACTAAAAGGGAAGGCATTGTGCAAGTACAGCTGTGTTGCCAGTGCCAATGATTGGCCCGTGTCGTCGCGCGTCAAGTGACCTATGCGATGCCACTTCACAGTTCTATTTTGCTGGCATCACTACTGCCACAACAAAGTGTCAACAACGACATCACACTCTCCCAATAATGTCACACGAGATGTTCGTGCTTGGGACATGCGAGCCGTCCGCACGTGCGGACGGGCGACACTTTGGGTGCTGCGCTCTTTAAGATATGAATCTTCGTGGCAGTGCCACCTCTGTGTTCAGCGGAGGCAAAATTGTTAGCACAAGACAGACAGACTGCCGTGTTCAAGCACAGAGGTGTCTGAGGTTCAATCCTTTGATCTTTCAAAGATCGTTCAGGGATTTATGAGGCAGGAAGAAAAAATAGCATGCATGGTCATGAAGAGACTAAGGTTCGCAAATAAAGTCTTGATCCAATATAAATCTTTAAATCGCACAAGTTGGGGGCCATAGAAGGCATTACAGAATAAAATTTTTCAGTGACATCTATTATTTAAAACAGGCCTAAACCGTGGACCATGGACCACATATCTAGGCACAACACTATATCTTAGAGCAATTTTA